CTGAAAAGAATAAATGGCCTTTGGACTTAGTGATGATGCTGATTGAGTTGTTTATTTCCCACAGATGATGCACACAAAGGAGGTCCAAGTAGGAGTGTTCACAATTCTTTGCCACATTTTTAGGTGAAGAGGGCACCTGATTTTTCCAACTCCAGGTGATGCACAGGCAGCCCTTCTACTGGCTATGGTCCTGGTCACACTTTCTTTCTAGCATATAAACACATGAGGTTCGTCACACTGAATCACAGCTTGGCCCAGGATGGAAGGCACAGTCCCACTAAGGGCAGCACATGCTCAGCTGAAGGAAAAACTCAGGACAGAACCACTGAAGGCGTTGCTGAAAGCTTGATCCTTTTCTGATGTTGAAGACAAGGTTTTGAGAAAAAGTTTTATTGCTTTGCTAGCAAAGGAGAAACACAGGGGACTCCTGTCCCAGAGTCTGATTCTCCCCATCAGGGGAAACAGAGGGTTTTTAAAGAGATGATTCAAAGGCTATATTCCAGGTATGCCCTGGGAGGTTGTAATTCACCTGTTAATTTTGAGCTAGCTATTTCTTAGATCTTCTGGCCTACCCCTGGAGACTGAATTACTTCATTTTTTGTGGTATGTGTTTACTTAAGGACAGATACCCTAGGACGGGAAGAAGGGTAGTCTTGTTTCCCCTAAGATTAGGGATGGGGAGAGGGAGAAGAGAAAAAAAAAATGTTTGTTTTAAAAAAAGTAACAGTGGCAGAGCAGCAAGGCCTATATTCAAATCATGAAGTGGACCACTGTTAAAAAGGAAAGCACCACAGACCTGATTCAGAACTTGACCCCAGAAACCTGGGTCCTCCTGGCTATCAGCCCAGTGCTTCTCTGGGAGTATCTCTCTAGGATCCTCCTCTGTAACCTTGGAGTGGGGTGTTAATCAGGCCCCTCCTCACTTCATCAGTTCTGAAGGTCAAAAGAGAATTGAGGGAAAGTTGCTACAAACACAGAAGTTCCTATTGATCTCATGCAGATTCCTTGAGCTTCTCCCAACCGTCTCCTTACTCTTGTGACTAAGAGGGTTACTGACAAGATTTGTTCTTAGGGATGATCTGATTGGCTCTCAGATATACCTGGAGTAATGTAACAGAATTCAGCAGAAGCATATTATAAATTACTGATCACCCTGTGTAACCAGGAACCTCACCCCCTCCCCAAACTTTGGGAATTCTGGTGGCAGCTGGGTTATTTGGGTTTTTGTCTTATTATCTTTATCTTCTCCATCTTCCTGGAAGAGATGTGTGGAAGGCTTGACCTTGGAGCCTGTGAGTGTTTCCTTTTCTCCCCCTTCCACCTTGCAGCTCAGTTTACAAAAGGCTCCACTGTGTGTCCTAGACTTCATGGGGGAGGGCAGACTCTACTCTTATCTTTTTTCTGCAACTGTTTTTGGGAACAGTGTATCCTAAAATTCACTTTCTCCACTCTGCAAAAACGCAGAACTGTGCACCTCCAA